CTCTCCCCCCCTGCCGCCGGTCCCTTTTCTTCCTCCCGGTCTGTGCCGGGAAGCACCACTTCACGCATGGTCATGAACACGAAGGCTCTTCTCATGCAACATCATTTTCTGCATCCCTTACCAAAAAAAATAACGACTCTTGGGATACCAACCTGGCGCATGTGCCAGGAGTCCCAGCGCCACCGCCAAGCCCACGGCGGCAGCGGGGACGAGCAGTGCCGGGGCAGAGATGCAGGCACGTCTCCGCGGGCAGCCGCACGGCGTGGCTGGCAGCAGTCTGTTGGGAGGCAAGAGGGAGAGATGAGGGGCAGGGGAAGGGTCAGGCAGGGCTGAGCGGGGTCGGGGTGTTTTGGAGGGGAACAGCACAGAGCCACAAGGGTGATGTTTCGGGGGCTCTGCATGCAGGACGGGCAAGGGCCTGCTGGGGTTGATAGTTGAGTTTTAATAGCCAAACTCCAATGTTAAACACCTCCTCATAGGGAACTTTGCTGCTTGCAGTGTGGAAGAGCCCGTGCCACCGTCGTGGAGCACCGGGACCGAATGGCACAAACCCACCCAACGCACTCAGATGCAGAAGGGTGGAGAAGGCCAAGCCCCTGCCTGACCCCGTGGGACACCAATGCCCTTTTCGCAGCGGGAGCAGCTGAAACACAGGGCAGGTTGGTGTAAGGCTGGGAAAGGTGCCCTACCAGAGCCCATGACAAAACTCCTCAAGAGGTAAAATTTCATTTTACAGCATTTTGGGCTTGCTGCCCCAACCAGGACTTTAACGCTCCCACAGAATGAGGCTGAATTATCAGCTCAAAATGGTGAGAACTGGCTGAAGAACAGCCCTTTCCCTCCCCAAAGACATCTCCGAGGTACAAAGGGCAGCGACCTTCCAGGGACTCCAACCTTCAGAAACTCACGTACGTAAATCAAACCAAATCCAAAAGCTAAAGGCCCAACCCACAGTCATTGCAACACGACAGCAGCGCACACAACAGCAATGCCGATCAGCTGCCCTCATCTCAGCTCCCTGCAGCACTAGTGCTTTGTCTCTAAACCAACATTGTATTTGCTTGCATTCCTTCGTATTTCCAGACCAACAGAAAAAAAATTAATGCGGTCATCTGAGAAACGCATAACTGGTCACTTAAGACAACCCTGCATGTATAATTGAATTCTGGTATTTCTGAACTTAAAGAGCTTTGATTGAAAAGTTAGAATTGGTCTTAGCTGTGCTTCATATTTACTTAGTAGTTGTGTTGTACAAACGCAAGTGAAGGCACGGCCTTTACTCAACGGCAAAGGGATCCCAGCTGCAGTAACCACCCCCTCTGTCATGCTTGAGCAGGAATCAAACGCATAACATGTCAGCATAAAAGAAAAGTGGTGAATTACAGCATGTCTGTGTCTACAAGACAACACCTTTGACCAGTATGCACAACAGTTGCAAACAGACACAAGTAGAAAATAATGGCAGTGATGAAGTGCTGTTGCAACCCACTCTACAGGTTTGATATTGTTTGATCTCACCTTCTCCTCCTTAATATGGACAAAATTTGCTGAAGTTTGGGTATTAAAACATATAGAAAGCCTATAGCAAGTTCATTATGAGCCCTTCTGTGACAGACAAGGATTACCTATCATGCTACTATACCACAAGACTGCCAACTGCAGGCCAACAAAGAATACTTTAAGTTTATTAATTTCATAGTCTGGACGTTTCACTACACAGAAGGGGGGCAGAGGGGAATCAGTCTCAACAGACCATAAATACTGGTTGTATTTTACATTACATACATAGTTTCAACTGAATTATACTTTAATAATAAAAATGTTAAGCTCTGCATTTTATTCGTTACCTCTTTCTTCAGAGGACTTTGCTGAATCAAAAGTAGCTACATCACCATTTCTCTAGAAGGAAAGGAATAAGACTGTTTACAGAAGCAGCACGCAGTAACCACACAACATATGCCTTTCTAGTTCCCATGCCCTCTTACCCAGGAATATATAATGTATTCGTTTATTTTTACATACAAGCAAAAATTGCCTCGGTGGAAGCGTGGCCTAGATTTAATTCACAAAGCAATCAATCAGATCACCTTTTAAATCTTAGTTACCCATTTGTAAAACAAACACTAATGCAAGTCCAGCGCTTTATATCAATACTTTCCTTTTGTATCGTATTAGGTTAAGTAGAAACAACTCAAAATCACACAGAAACCAGTGATAAAGAGATCAGACGAACAATGTTATCAAGAACACATGTACTTTAGGGAACAGCTGCACATAAGATTTTTCTGAAGAGAAGGACTGTACCTGGGGATGAGTTTTGTTCATGCTTCCCAGAGCTACAGCCCTCACAGCAGCGCAGAGGACCGCAGGGAGTTTTCTGCACCTAACAGGAGCGATGTTACCAGGATACCAAATCCAACAGAGGTAGGAAAGCAAGGAGCGTGCTGCTGCCCAGGCATGCAAGCAGGAGAGGATGGGGAAAGCAGCGCCGAGCCCGTGCTCCAGCTCCGGTTGGAAGTGGGGTTTCTGGTTTGCTTCTCATTCCTCCTGGCTCCATCTTGGCCTCACAACAGGTCATTAGGCAAATCATAGAGGACACGGAGATTTTGGATGCAGAGAACCCCACTGCCACTCCTGACACCAGTTCAGAAGATGAACACTCATCCCTAGCTGATGCCGACTGCATTTACCCTGGTGCCAGTCAGGGAGAACCCCCCTTCATGACAAAAACTTGAGGGAAGAGAGTCTGATCATCTTCATGCAAGTCTCCTTTCTCCCCATCTCCTTCCCAAGACAGAGCTGACACACTGACCTCAGAGCAGCATCAGCCCAGACTCCTGCAAGATGACCAGATCTCAGCAGAGCTGTGCAGGATACAACCATCTGGAATAGGTTTCCTGCTTGGGCAACAAGCACAGGCACAGCAAATCTTCCAGGGTCCTCTCTTTTCCTTGCATACTTGAATTTCCAGGCCTGCAGTAAGTCTTAGCAGCTCAGCCTGTAGCTAACGTGAACTTACAAATAGATTGCAGCCTTCTAAACTGGCTGCAGGTCTCAGCACAGCACACACAGAGTGGAGTTTTGCAGCTTCAAGGATAAAATGTCATGAGCAGGCAGCTTTGCCAGAGGGGTAGGGGGGAGAAAAAGCACTGGCATAAAGTGTTCGAGGAGCTTGTGTTATGGCTTGCAGGAGGGTCCATAGGACTCAAGTGCCTCCAAATTGTTGCCACCTCACAGATCACAATTCCTCCCCAAGCGCTAGCAAAACTAGCTTACCAGGGCTTCAGAGGAGAAGCTGGCAGCTATATTGCCTGTAAGTTGGCCCCAAGACAGCTGCCTTGAATTGATTCAAAGCACCAAATAATGCCCAACATGGAGGAACAATTACAGCTACTTCCCTCTCCGTCCCCACACATACAACTCATTCTCGATCACATTAACACTGAGTTAATCCAGGCTTCCTGACAAGGGCACCTGCCAACCCTGCACTCGCCTGTTCACAGACCAGCCAGAATTAAATACAGTCTCGTAGGAGCTCCTCCTTCGGCATGGCAACACCAATTTGTCCAAAGCAGAAGCTGCTCACAAGAATACGTCACTGTTAAACTTGGTGCTAGAAAGCTCTCCTGTTCCGAGGGGAATTTTGGGTGAAAACACCAAATGCCAAGTAGCAAACAGTCTGCAAGTCTGGGCACCTGCTACAATACGGAAGAATGACAGATTAAGGGTGAAAACCTGCGTATCTTAAGTTCTGGATCTGTTTATCTTTAAAGAGGAAGTTTTAGTTTCTAATCAGACTTAATACACAAGGACTATTTTGAGCCTTCAAAAAGCTTATTAGGTAACTGTGAGTTTGCTAAGAGTCCCATGTAAGAGCCAGGTCAAGCAGGCTAGCCATCCACACCCCACGAAATAATCCATGATGAAAACATTTAAAATGAGGAGTAAATCCACTCTTACAGGCAAGTGTCCATATGACCAGACATCTACCACCATCTGCTTCCTGCACCAAGATTATCAAGCTCAGCTGTAGCCAACCAGGCAGTTGGGGTTTAGAACAGTTACTCCACAAAGACCGCTAGTTCAGAAAAATGAGTTCATGAGAATGAGGTAACAAACACAAACAAGCCCTTCTGAAGGAAAAAAAAAAAAAAAAAAATCTTTGCCAAAGATCAGAGAAGCTGAAGAGGGAACACAGATTAACATATATGGTATGACAGGAGACTATTGTTAATTCTAGCACCTAAAAAAAACCCCAACCCTGTCCAAGCCCCGCCAAATGTACTGTGGCTATTTCTGCCAGCAGTGAATTGCACACACTTGAGAGGGTTGCCTCATTTGTGTCAAGATATTTCCTTTTAAAATCCAACACAAGTTCAATTGAACACATGCCTAAAGAGAATATAAAATGCTTTCCTCCTGCAATTTCAATAATTTAAGGCCCTTCATTTAAACAGAGGTCCTGGGCAGAGATCAAACCAAAATTGCAGCCTCTGAAAATGAAGATATCAGGAAGTCAAACATTTAACAAAAAATGAGTGGGCCAAGCCATTTTGCAAAGTCAAATGCCAAGATAGCTTAAATAGTCCATTTAGATTAGAAATCTTGAAAAACAGTCCGATTACTGCAGCCTAGCTAGTATCTGATTTTACTGAGGGAAGATACTTTGACAAGAGCTTACAAGTACAACACTTAACAAATTCTTCAGACTCTGGCTCACTCTGGAAACAGTAGTGCCAAGTGACAGATTGCCACAGGCACAGTTTCCTGTGACCTAACAGCAGTTAGGTTACTGAATCACTGGCTTCACTACACAGATCACTTAGCTGAAATGTCATTAAACAGCAAACAAAAGACAAAACCTGTAAAACATCTCCTGAGTTTTCTCCCTTTGTCATAGGCAGATACAAAGCCAAATGAACTCAAACCCAGGAACGTAAGCAATAAAGTCAAAACGTTTCAGAAGAGAAAGTTTTGTGAAATCAAGTCATCAACATGACAGAGGCTTTACTGTACACATTTGAAACAGGCAAATAGCCACGTTTTCGTGAAGCTGCAACACTCCCTATGTAACTACATGTAATAGTAAAGGAGAACGTTTTAACAGACTTGAAAACATTTCCATGTTAGTAATTAGAAAAACTGGGACTGCTGAAGTCTCTTCTGGAAAGGCAATCCTGAACAACATAGTGCTAAGATGACAGGCAATAATTACTGAAGTAGAGCCCATATTTACAAAGTAATTTTTGAACATCCATTGCATACATCACATTTGATACCACTCGAAGTGGAACACTGGCATCCTGCACCAAAACAGGGCCGTATACTGAGGTTTGCACTAGGTGAGCAGAAATGCACATCTCAACTGAATCATTACTGCAGGCAGAGGGATTTCCCATCCCTGCTATCGTGCAAGTGAACAGTGTTCCAAAAACATCACACCATCGATTTTCACATCAACAGTCACGCTTGAGGCCTTTGCAGTAATGCCACCTACACACAAAGGTACCTGTCAATGGCTGCTGGCACCCAAATTTCTGGGCTAGCGAGTTGTCCCACTGAAGACTTTAGCATGAAGAGGTACCACTAATTTAAGACTTCAAATTGCAATTTCTGCACGTTGATACAAGCCTGCTTAAAACAAACATCGCTTAAAGCTCTTAAACCTCATTGACAGAAAAACTGCTTGAGTGCTTCTGGGCTAGGGTTTTCAGCAGCACCGTACAGGC